TAAAAGGTCTGGGGACTTAACGTTTTTCACAAAACCCTTAAAAAGACCAAGGGTTACAACCAACCACAAAAGTAAAAAGGCAACAAAGGTATTCAAACTTTTCACTGAGAACTTGAAGGAACTGAAACAGGGACATCAACAACATCAGGCGGCTCAACTTGATCCGAAGGAGTAGGGATACCCGTATCATCTTCAATTTGTTCAGAAACTTCAGCCACGGGAGTAGGGAAATTTTGGTTCTGCTGAGTCTTCTCGAGAGCCTCTTTGATCTTGGCTAACTCAGATTCTAAGTTAAAATTCTCCTGGCTAACTTGAACGAGGGTATCATGGCGAGAATTTAAAAATGCCCAACTCACTTCAATGGCAGATTTCTCTTCAAGGATCTCATAGTCTTTTTCCCAATCAGCAACCTCATTTCTTAATTTTTCATTCTCAGCTAAGGCAGATTCCTGAGAAGCTTGGAGAGGAGCTTGAGAACTCTCTAAAAAGCGAACCTTATCAGAAGATTCCCGGAGGTCTTCTTGAGTTTGTGTCAGTGTTTGCACAAGTTCTCCAGCATATGCTTCTTTCTCAGCCAAGAGAGCCTTCAACTCTCTAATCTCCTCACTAGCCTTGGAAAGTTGCTCAGAAAAAGAGGTTTCAAGACGTAACTTTTCTTTATTTGCTTGACTTAAAGAAGCTTTTACAACTGCCAGCTCTGAAGTCAAGACCCTTACCTGCTGCTCCAAGGTACTTCTACTTTCTTCTAAGGTTTCTACATTAATTTGAAGACTGTCACACTGTCCCTTCCAATTATCCGCCTCCATCTGATAGTCACGCATTAATTGCTCTAAAAGGGTAACTCTTTTCATCATCTCTGTGCCAATTAAATTAACCTAAAAGAAAAGGGAAGATGAGAATCCTGAAAATAGGCGAAGGATAAAATAAAGTTTGAAAAAAGGAGTACCTTTAAAGAAGCATGCACTATGTCATTCATCAAGGTCAAAGAACTGTGACTCTCAAGCTTAGCCTTTTTGACTGGACCAATCAAAGGCTTTAGCCACACATCTGCTTGACCTGATTTCCTTAAAAGGTTACCCTCAGCAGGGACTTCAATGGTGACTTGCTTCATAAAAATATTTCCACTTGAGGAACCAACCTCAGTATGATGGACAGGTGGAGGAGGAATCGTTGAAGGAGGAACAGTGGAAGAAGTAAAAACAGCGTGGGGAGGAACAGAAATAGCCATGATTGGCAAAGAAGGAGTGACGGGAACGGAAGTGGCAAAAGAAGCCTGGGGTGCTTCATCAAAACCGGACCAAAATCTTTACTACCAAACTCGCGATCAAAAAATTGCTCAATAGAATCATGAGCAGCAGCGGGAACATCATCATCAGGGATCACCACCGGGGCTTCAATAGATTCGGTGAGAGGAACAGAATGGCGGGGGGATGCTTCATCATCAGAGATAATACGTCTACGAGCCCGTGGCCTCGTTATCAATGAACCCTCCTCTTCCTCCTCTTCAAAGTCTTGGCTATCAACGGCTTTTCTTTTCGATGAAGAACCCAAAATTATTTCCTGGGCCTTTTCCAAAGAGATACGAGAAGCCACGATCGCCTCGGCAGTATTCCCTCGAATTGCAAATCCTGATAAAAAGAAGGATTAAAATAAGTTCAGAAAGAAAAAAGTAATATGTGAAATAAAAAAAAACTCTTACCACGAGTTTTTACTTTCCAACCAAATCATTGGGAAAGAGCCTTCCAAGACCTACCCTCCATTGGGGCAGCATTCAACATTTTTCCTACCCAAACACGGAAATTGGGAATATCATCCACAATTCCCATGGTTGCTGAAAAGGAAAAGGAAAGTTAAAATAAATAGTCATCGAAGTTAAAGGGAAAAAGGTACGAGAAAATTACTCACGTGCAAATTCCACTTTTCGGGAAAAGAAATATTTCCTCACCCACCAAACCAACGGTGGGGGCAACAACAAACCGGGCAGACCAGCCACGGTCTCTGTCATCCTCTGGACTAACCAGAACTCTTTTACTCCTAGCTACTAAAGTGAAAACGCCATTGCAAAAAAGTCTGGGGGAGTAAAGATGAATTAGATGAGAGAAGGTGAAAGGCACACCGGCCACATTGCTCAAATGCCTCAAACAGGCAACAGCCCTCCATACAATAGGGCCTATCTGACCTAAACATACGTCGAAAAAACGACAGAATTCTAGGATGAAAGGGTCAATAACAGGTTTGAATCCCAAGGTAAAAGGATATGTATAAACAAAGGAAAATCCTGTCAAATAAGAGGTGATTCTTTGGTTCGCATTAGGGATTATGATGGGAAAATCTTGACTCCAATGGCAGTCATTACGAATTAAAGGAATCAGACCTTCAATGATCTGATTTGGGTAAATATCAGCATGATCTAAGGAAGAAACTTGGTTTCTAAGAGACTCTCTATCACTATAGAAGGAAAATTTCGCAGGAATTATTTCTTCTACTGGAGGTTCACGAAGAGGCTCAGAGGACTCCTTACCTCTAGAGGAAGATCTATGTGAAACAGAACCTCTAGTTCTAGAAGAAGGGCCAGAACTGGATGAAGACCCTAAATTACGTAGTCTACCACCCCCTCTTTTACTCCTATTAGGAGCAGAAGGAAAGTTGTCAACTATGGAGACTCTCCTAGGGTTAGGGTTTGGCGAAGCTATGGCAGTACGAGGAAGCTAAAGAACAAGAATTGAATATTCTAAGAATTTTACGAGGAAGATGGAAACGAGAATTGAATATTTTGAAAGCTTTATGAGGAAAAGACAGAGGCACAAAACTAAATTTATACTAGGAAGCAACCGTCAAAGGAAAAGGTACAATGATGGAAAGGTCATAATGAGAACTGTCGCTTCGTGATTAGTGAAGCCGTAAAAAAGCCTTAAAAGGCGCTGCAAAGTTGCAGAGCCAATAAGAGGGCGCCACGTGTAACAAGCATTAAATGAAAGTGACAATTGAAGCATCGATTCTATCATAGCATTAATGGCGGTAAATATTCCCGCTTCAATGAAATCCACTTCCCAAATATTCAATTGATGAATAAATGGCAAGTGGGGGGAATATCTGTATTGGGAAAAATTGAGTTTACATATTAAAGTGGTGTAGAGATGACGTGTCATGACACGTAGATTGATCAAATAGTTATGATTGGAAAAGAGGCACGAGTTGCAACAGATACAAGCAGAGGCACAAAAAGTGGCACGAGCGGTTATTCAAAAGACTCAACGCCCGTACCTATTTAAGTCCAAGAATTAAGGAGAATGAATATGTCAGTACAAAGGAGTACAGATACAATATTTAATGAGCCTTAAATACTAAAAACGTTAGAGAATCTGTATTAAATACAATGATTATGTAACGTAGCATTTAGTGTCTTTAATTGTCTATAATAGCCTTATTATGAAAAAGGCAAAACGCATATCTCCAAAATAGCTATAAAAGGGAGAGAATGGATCAATTGTAAGGACACGAAATATTATCTGAATATACTGGTTTACTTTGTTTTTCTGACTATCTCATTATTGGCAAAATCATTCTTCTTTTATTCATTTCCGATTATCAGTAACCCGAGTTCTTCTAAAAATATAGCTTTGACCGAAATCTCATTTTTTGCTTAAACAAGTTGCAAGCATGTCCTTACCGTTCTCTTTGTGGGTGGCCATGTTTCCGATTTTTTATCTGGAGAAGATTAGGAAGTTTTCACTAAGAAATCCCCACAGACGGCGCCAAATTGTTTGACCAAAAGATATTGAAACCTTTTTGATTAAATCAATTAGAAAAAATTGAAGAGGTAAATCTTGGTCAAACATAATAAATTCCAGATCTATAGATAAACCAGAAAATGATATATAAAATGAAGTAGAAGCGGTAAATTATCGAAAAGCCTTTCATTTCTTCTTTCACCAATTGGTGAAGATGACTGTTGTAGATATTCATTGGAAGATTGTTTTCTTCCTTTTCACTAAGGAGATTACGGAGGAGAATGAGAGGAAAAAGGTCCCTTTTCTAGGAAGGACTCATCCCTATATATAGTCATGGAGTTATTGCTGTGTATTTGGGCCACAGCCCCCTTACTTTGCGTCCACTTTCGTCGTTCGGTGAATACGTGAGTTGGCGCAAATAATATCGTCTTTCCTTATCCCATTGTTTGGATGTGGTCCCAATTGGATCGACCATAGCGGTTGACCAATACAGGATTGAACTTCCATTCCGTGTTTAGAGTACTTGTACGGTGGTGTTACAAAGTGAAGTGTTTAGTAGAACAAAAAAAATACGGCATTGACGCAAACTTTAAGAAACCAAAAGTTTAAGAACTTTATTGCCATTTTATATTCAATATTGAGGTTGATAGGCTTAGCTTTGACTTTCCTAACCTTTATTAATTTAAAAGAAGAAAAAAAGAGGAAGAAACAGCTTGCAATGAGGAAAGAGAGATCTACTTCCCATGCATATAGAATTAATTTTAAGCAGTTCCTTGAATAAATCTCATAAAAATTGAGAAAACGCCGTAACTTTATCATGATTTTGAGCTGCTGATAGATGTACCCGCTTTAACAAAACAAATCAAATTTTTTTATTTCATTTTAAGAGTCAACCGTCACGTAAATAGCCTTTTTCCTCAAGGAACTGAAAACTAAACACATTCACTTTCGTGCTTAAACTGAAAAATTACTTGGTCAAAAACTCCAGAAATTACTGATTACATAAGATATATATGCTCCCGGCATTTATTCTACAACCATAAAATTAAACTGTTCATACTTTATGGAGACTGACTGCCACATATAACTTCGAATTCAATCCGAGGTACAGTGCCTGCGGGAAAAATCCAATTCTTGGAATGGGTATAATTCAAGAATACTCCAGAAGCAATCGCATCTGGGAAAAAAATATTCCCCAAACCATAAAAAGAAGAGGAAAAAAACGGAAAACTAAAAACAATTGGGAAATGATCATGATGAGTAAGTCTTTTATGTTCTCTTTCTTTCCATGAAAGCATGTATTCTTCTGAGTGCAATTTCTAACGTATTTTCACTCATGTTGGAGAAACAAACCCTGAACCAACCAGGCTCTGAGCAATGGCAAGAGGAGCCTGGAGAAATATTCAGTTTCACTTGATGCAATATTCTGTTCCAAAGGGCCAATTCACATTCCTTTGTAGGCTTTTCCAATAAAGGACTCAAATCCATCCAGCAAAACAATCCTGCATTCCCTTTCAAGCACTCAATCCCAGCACTCCTCAATCCATGAATAATCATTTCATATCTCCTCCTCAGCCTTTCACGATTCGTCTTTATGTAATCCTCACTGAATTTCTCGTCCGACAACATGGAAGCCAGGAGCTGTTGTGTCTGAGAAGAAATCAATGTGAAACTCGACATTCTCCTTGCAGTTGTCACAACTTTGTCATTGTAAGAGTAGATTGTCCCAACTCGAAACCCAGGTAGTCCCAGGTCCTTGGAGAGGCTGTACACAATGTGTACCCTCTCTGAATCCATGTAATTCCTTGATTCAATTACTTCACTAATGCTAACAAATTCGGAGCAACAAAAGGCGGAACCCGAGTAGATTTCATCGGACACAAGGTGGATGTTTTTTCTTGTGACGAATTCAAGAATGCCCTCAAGCACACACCTTTGGATGGTGGCACCTAATGGGTTAGAGGGGTTTGTTATAATAACCCCTCTCACTTTTATGTTCTTGGTTTCCGCTTCCTCGTAGGCTTCTTCTAAGGCTTGTGGAGTAACTTGGAAATTATTTGAACTGTCGCAATGGATTGGAACGATTTGCACACCCGTCCTCCACCTCAAGTCTCTATCAAATCTGTAAAACCAAAAAAGTAAAACAAGATAATAATGGTAAATATTTCAAACAACGATTCTCAGTGTCCTTTTTTTCCAATGTAATAGCTAAAAAATATTTGTCACATGGTTACTATGTATAGTAGTTATACCCTGGATAGTAAGGAGTTGGAACAAGCAAAGCATCGCCAGGATTAGCTAAGATGAAAGTTAATAACTCATTAGCAGCAGTGGCGCCAGCTGTAATAACAACTCTATCAGGATCAAATCTTGCCCTTCCACCTCTTATTTTTTCCATGAAGCTAGCCATTGCCTTTCTAAATGAAAGCAGTCCATGATAATCTTGGAATAAAGCATTTTTCCTAAAGCTAGAAACTCCACTCCCTGAGCATGTGTGTTTTTCCAAATACTTTTCCACCAAATCAAATGACACCTACGTACACAAGAAAATTAATTAAGCAACATGAAATTATAATGATCATGTGAATATATATACTGAAAAAGGAGTATCTATCTTCATCACTTACTTGATTTTCGGCCAATCCCATTTGAATAACACCAGATGGATTGTGAACTTCATCAAATGGATCTTCATCGTATGCTTTCCACCCAGCAAAGTAGGGTGAATCTTCTCCATGGGTATCTGACGTGGCCATTTTTGATAGCCCAACTATGGGTTTCTCAATCTCTATGGCCATTGCTTATTGCTCTTAGTTATTAGATCTTTTCGTTTTCTTTTCTTTAGTCTTAATCAATTAGCAAAAGAGTCTTAATTTTCTTAGAGAGAGAGAGAGAGATGAAGAAAATATAAATGTGGATAGTAGAAAAAAATCGATGAGATCGAGAGTAGAACTCAGAAGAGAGAAGCACTATTTGAATGAAACATTTTTGTCAATGACCACCTTATATAATTTTAAGGGGGGGTGGGGACCTCAACTTACATGGAGATGATAAATTCTCTCTCAGAAAAAAAAAGTGAAGCTAGGAACCAATGATTGATTCTGTAGAAGAAGCAAGATCAACGCTCAGCTTTTAACAAATATAGTTTAAATGGCTGGTGACAACTGTTAATTTCTGTCATCTTTTCAGAGTTTTGTATATTCTCAATCTCCCCAAGATCCCATTGCAAATATGGTGGTTGATGGGGGTGGGTGCTAATTTTAACTTAAGTAGTAGTGTAGTACCTCCAACTTAATTTCTGTCTATTCAGATTCTTTAAGTTTATGCTTACGTTCATGTCTCGATCGACCTTATTTGTTTTACATAGTGGTAAATAGATAATGTAATATTTTATATACATTACTAATTTATAAGTTCATAAAATAACTGTCAGTCTATATACATAGACTAAAGTCTGTTGAGCAATAAGGTTAAGGAGTGAAAACTGTTATACACCTATACTATATGTTATCAAGATAATTTGTGGTTCAGGATTTTAACTCTCACCTACTATGATAAGCTGTCATATTTTGACGTTCTCGACTCATTCAGAAAATAGAAAAAGAACTTTTGAAGATGAAAAGCACGTCAAATGGAAAAGTTCCATTATTTTTTATTTTTTTTGGTAAATAAATTTTCTATTTATCTGAATGTTCTGTACAAGTATGTCTTCATCCTAAAGTAGGACATGTAGCCCCAACTTTAGTGTGCATCTCTAGCTTCCTCTACTAACTCTAACATTCAAAAATCTTTCTGCTTAGTATCTTGTATCTTATTGCACCTGGTTCGACTTTCTCCTTTGTTGCTTCATGGGTAGAAGTTTAGGCTGGCCATCTGCTTTGCTAGTCTTGTTACTTTGCTTCCTCTGCAGTGTACATCTTGTATAATCAACTTCACAATCACCTCCTCTGATCTACGTTTGTTCTGGAATAGTTTTAGGTTCCTTTCCTGCCTGATATAGTAGATGCTCCCTACTAATGTCATCCTATATATTTCAGCTTTCCCACATTTCCCTCGTGCATTATTTGTTGCCCCATGTTATCTCCTCAGACCACCCCATTGTAGCTCTGTTTATACCCTGCCATGTGAGTAATTTTTTCCAGATTCTAGCTGCTACATTGCACTCAAAGAATAAGTGTTGTGTGGTTTCCTGTTCTTGGTCACATAGAATACATAGCGGACTACTCTGCATCCCCCATATCTCTTGTATATAGTCTATTCTGTGCAGCCATATATAATATGAAAGACCACCTTGGACTACTAAAAGCACATAAGTTAGAACGTGTTTTTGAAATCAGATAAAATTAAATACAACAGTGGAGCGACCGTGCTAGACCCACGGGATCCGAGGGTGCCTAACACCTTCCCTCGGGTCAATAGAATTCCTTACCTAGAATTTCTGGTTCGCAGACTCCATTCGGAAGTCGAAATTTTCCTCGGTTCGGGATTCAAGATAAACCGGTGACTTGGGACACCAAAAGCCAAACTTATCCCAAGTGGCGACTCTGATTTTTTAAAAAATAAATCCCGTTTCGATTGTCACTTCAAGTTGAAAATAACTCCTTTTATTATACCCTATTCCGGGGGGTGTAGTGAAAAAAGGAGGTGTGACAGCTCTGGCGACTCTGCTGGGGAAAAGAACCCAGAACTTTGATTCAGGGTTCAGAATTCGAGCTTAGATATATTGTTGTGTTTGGCTTTATCTGATTTTCCTACATGTTTCATGCTAAATGTACAGAATGTTTACCGCTTTGATATTATCTGAACTNCCCCATGCTGGACCCATGTTGATTTCACGTCGCTGGGCCTGGCTTCACCTAGAGCCCGATTTCTTCATGCATTAAATCTGCATCCATGTTTAATCACATCAGGTTTATCAGTTGGGCCCTCGGTCCATTTGTGCTAGACTGATCCCTTTGCTCGAAATAAGTAACTCTCCTTGTGCGAATCATTAGTCAGTCGGAGGGAAGCCTTTAATCACATTTAGTTCTAGCGGATTAAGCCTATTAAATAGATTGAAGTGAGCCATAATTAGATAACTCGTAGTGCATGGCCCTCATGAATTAGTTTAGAACCGTTAAGCTAGAATAAATTGAGGCGCGCCAAGCCCGATAAAATCTCAGATGCTTGGCCCCCGTTCAAATATTTCTTTTAAAACAATTAGAATCCGAGGCGTGCCATTTAGCAAATTTCATGGCCCTCGCAAAGCCAAAACGCGTAGTTGCTTTAGGCGCGTATTTTAATAATATTACTTTCCTAAATTCGGGTGCACATTTATGTGACCCAAATCCAAATCTCAACGAAGTCGAAATGTGTCAACAATCACGGGTGCACTGGTGCGATGTGGTTCGAGAAGCATTTTCACGACGTTGCAATTCTTATTAAAAATAAAAATAAAGCGGGTTACTAATAAAAGCACATAAGTTAGAACGAGTTTTGAAATCAGATAAAATTAATACAACAGTGGAGCGACCGTGCTAGACCCACGGGATCCGAGGGTGCCTAACACCTTCCCTCGGGTCAACAGAATTCCTTACCTAGAATTTCTGGTTCGCAGACTCCATTCGGAAGTCGAAATTTTCCTCGGTTCGGGATTCAAGATAAACCGGTGACTTGGGACACCAAAAGCCAAACTTATCCCAAGTGGCGACTCTGATTTTTTAAAAAATAAATCCCGTTTCGATTGTCACTTCAAGTTGGAAATAACTCCTTTTATTATACCATATTCCGGGGGGTGTAGTGAAAAAAGGAGGTGTGACAACAGGGCTAGTCTATCGGGACTCCTGCCTGATCGGGAATGGCGTAGCCTTCCAGTTTTGGAGTTTAGCATCTGGTCCCATATAGAACACCTCAGCGGTGCTAGTCCCTTCCCCTGGCTGAACCATGTTGGTTTGATAAAGCATTTGTCTCATAGCTCCACATATATCTTCGATTTCCACAGCTGTGAACACCTCATCGTCCCTTTCTTTGCCATACTTGGCCTTGACAAAAGTATCATAGAGATGTGGCAATGGTTGTGACAGAACCCATCCTTCTTTCTTTCTTTCCTCGGCCCATTTCTCATCATCTGGAGTTGGGTAGAAGCCTATCCCGAAAAACTTTTCTGCTGTGGGTAGAGTTACCGGCTCAGATATTCCTTGTAAAGCTTTTCCCAACCCTTTTCCTGGCTTGAAACCGTGTCTAATCATTTCTCTGGCCAACATGATTGAAGCATTAGACAGGAAAGGCTGAGGACAAGGATTTCCCTCCTCATGCTGATCTGCTACCACAATTTCAAAGGCTTGATAAACAATATGCTCACTTCCTTCCCTCGCCTCCAAACATGGGATAGATGGGTCACGATAAATGGACTGCTCGTCTTCTCCGTGGACCACGATTTCCTGGTCTTCATACTCGAATTTTACCATTTGGTGGAGGGTAGAGGGCACAGCTCCTGCAGCATGGATCCAGGGCCTTCCCAAGAGAAAATTATAAGATGTATCCATGTCCAACACCTGGAAGGTTACCTCGAACTCTACCGGACCTATGGTCAATATCAAATTAATTTCACCGATGGTATCCCTCTTAATACCATCAAAAGCTCTCACACAAACATTATTCGGCCGAATCCTTCCCGTCCCGATTTCCATCCTTTGCAATGTGGAGAGCGGGCAGATGTCAACCCCCGATCCTCCATCCACCATGACTCGCTTGACATAATAACCTTCACACTTGACAGTCAGATGCAAGGCTTTATTGTGAGCTGCGCCTTCCGGAGGCAAGTCATTTTTACTAAAAAAAGAGAGTTGATTGATGGCGAAGAACCTTTCTGCCATCCTTTCGAGCTGCTCGACTGAAGTTTCCATTGACACGTACGCCTCATTCAAAGTTTTCATCAAGATCTTCTGATGTTCGGAGGATTTCATCACCAATGAGAGCAGGGACACCTGTTCAGGATATTTCCTTAATTGATCCACTGTTTCATAATCAGGCATCTTCATTTTCTGGTAAGAAGGCTTCTGCTTCCTCAGCACTCACTGGCTTCTTGGACGAAACGCTTTCG